CGCGAAACAACTATGAATCAGCCTGCAACGATCGTAATTGATAATCGACTGTGCAAAAAAAAAAAAAAAAAAAAAAGGAAAAAAGAAAAAAAGAAAGGCGATTAATGAGCGAAATATCACGCTAGGATTTCGGCCGGTTTCTTTCGTGTCTCCAAAGCGTTTGCCAAGAAACCTTGATCCCTATCGCCATCAAATATCGCTCGCCACGCTCGGTGATTAACACGAGACCCCGTGAATTTGTTTACCTGAGCGCAACCGGTAATGGATTAAGTGGCATATTCTTGGACAGGATTATGGATCTACGTGGTGGCAAGCGTTTCCGTGCAACTGAACTCCCGTTGCTTAATAACGACGTTGGCCAATTGACAGGTCACGAGTCGTATGGTTCTACGGTTTTCAAAGTTTCCAGAGTGTGAATCGTCCCTTTTTGTTATTTCTTTTCTTTCTTTTCGTTCTAAATTTTTTTTTTCTCTTTTATCGATCATGATAGTTTAGAGAAACGATTCCCTAATAATTGGAGTTCATTAGCGATCGGTTAGAATATTTACTAATTGCGTCAACTTGAGATGTTAATAAAAAAAAAAGAACAACTCGTAATTTGCAATTGATATGAAATAGCAATTAATTTAATTCTTTTCCCTGGATGAGAATATTGATACTGATGTAGCGAGCCATTTGTTAATTTGCGTCAATTCGAAACATAAATTGTGTCTAATTGTGTCGACAACTCGGTGATATGAAAACAATGAAAAAGAAAAAAAAAAATATTGCGATCGAGTGAATACTTGTCAGCTGTCGAATTTCATTCGACTCGCGAACGATCCGGTCCCAGATATCGTCTACACTTCCGTAGATCAAGCCTTATCCGAGCAGAACGGTTTCATTCAGAGGTCATTTCACATTTCATTTGGCGGGGGACCCCCCGGTCCTCGTAAAATTACACGGGACCTTTATTCGATAAGTTTTTCACATTTCATTTCACGCAGGATTCATGAAGTCCTCGTGAAGTTCCACTCCCGTGGAATCTGCTATCCGATATTTCATCTCCGTCCCTTCGCGATACACACTTCTCGCCGAGGTTTCAACGAAACAGAAGTATTCGACAATTATCTAGCTTCTAATCTCCTCTGAGACGATCGAACGTGATGATCGAATGAAGGTAACGATTTTTACTGCAATCTTTAGTTCAATTTCACTGGAGAGTGTCAGAATATTTTTTATAAATATTTTAGCACGATGGATTTAGAACATTTTAAAACTTCGATTCCATACGATTCTGGTCATAAACGGTTCTGTTAAAATCGGTTTGCCAATATTTTCGCGTCATGTACAGAGCGCTTCGAAAAACGTGGCAAAGAAGTAGAAGTCATTTCAGTCGTATATTTTAATTACAACAGTTGATTACAATTAAATCACAGTCATTCGACCGTGGATTCTTACGCACTTACAGAAAAATTTTATAAAATATGACCTTACACGAAATCCACAGTATAAATACTTGCAAGTGAAGCAATTTCCTTTTAATTACATTCTCAGAAATATGAATTTTCATGGACATCCACGGGCTGTTAAAATCGGTTTGCGAATATTTTCGCGTCATGTACAGAGCGCTTCAAAAAGCGTGTCAAAGAAATAGAGGTCGTTTCAGTCGTATATTTTAATTACAACAGTTGATTACAATTAAATCACAGTCATTCGACCGTGGATTCTTACGCACTTACAGAAAAATTTTATAAAATATGACCTTACACGAAATCCACAGTATAAATACTTGCAAGTGAAGCAATTTCCTTTTAATTCTCGGAAATATGAATTTTCATGGACATTCTGTGGAGGACGTCTGAAAATCTCGATCTCGCAATTTACTTTACTTTTATCAATATAAAAGAAAAAAAGAAAAAGAAACTAAATGGCATGGTGTACAGGACTTTTCAAAATTACAGGACACTCGCGGGACCTTACACTGCGATGAAAGTTAAGAGGGAAGATAACATAAAGACAAGTGAAAATAAAAAGAGCAAGTGGAAAAGATGGGAAATTCATCAGAGAACTTTCTTGCGGCAACTTCCGTGTACGAAATCGTAACCGGGAGGACATCTAACTGGTACCTCAATGAACTGCCTGACCATTAATTCGTAATCACTGTCTTCATCCGTAGTTGTTGCTGTACTCATCTCTGTAGTGGTGCTTGTCGTTGGTGCATTGAAAATATCTCCGAGCTTCGACTTCTCTATCGCGTCTTGAAAGCTTTTGTGAACAATTCCCAAACTATCCTTGATTTTCTGCAAGAGGAAAGGTTGTTTCGTTGTCTCCTGCCCGCGCGAGAGCTGCGCCAGCGCGACGAAAACGAGACAAAGCCAAAGGGAGAATCGAGACATCTTTCTCTCGTCTTCCTAGGAATTAATTTGTTTGTGAAACAAGCAGAGAAGAACTTGAAAACGTTGGCTTACCTTCTCGATTAACGATCTTTGTTTGATTCTTATGACGAGATTCGTGAAAAGTTGTTGGGACCACTTTCAGTGAAACGATCTGTAGCGGCAGAACAGAAGAATTCACGAACAGGATTTTCGTAGTTGATAACTTCTAGAGAGAGAGAGAGAAAAAAAAAGAAAGAAAGAAAAATCTGTAAATGAAACGTACAAATCGTGTAACATTATGTTTGTTCGTAATTTATATTTTACTAAAATTTCGAACGACCTTGAAAAAGAATAAAAAGTTACGTAACGTGTGTAACAAAGTTAGTGAATGTAGTTTCTAGTTAATAACTGCATTATGATCTTCTCGTTGCACAGAAACAATCGCAGAGTTTAATTTGTCGGAAATAATCGATGGTTGTTGTTAGTTAGATAAGCGTTACGTAACAGTTGGATAATTGTCGGATAGTCACGATCATTGATACTTCTGGCTAATGCGATTACTTTTATCCTGTTCTTTTCACGCCGCGGCACACTCGAATATAATTTCAAGTATTCAAATCAGTTCAGAAGTCGCCCTTTTAAAGACACATTACGTTGTCAGCTATCGTTACTCGCTGTACATAAATACCTGTCTATAATAAAAGATTATTATAGATAAATTTATTTAATATAATTTTGTATAATTTTGTATATTTGATATAATCAAATATAATGTGAAATATAAATTTTAAAAACTAGAAGCTACAGCGGCATACAAAAGGAAAGAAAAGCTTGAAATTGCCCGTGTGATATTGGTGATGGAATTGATAACTTTTATACTAGACCTTTTTTCAATAACGATCATTTATTCATTACTATAATGCTTCATATTGTCTTTCAACGTGAAACGAATTGAAAATCCAAAACGCGCGCACGTTATGAGACAGCCTGTAGATTACTCACGAGAGCGAGTTGCAGTTGGTACAAAACTGCGTGTGGTTGAACAATTATTCGACGATTTATTACCAGGACGCGTTTTCTTTCTCACTGTAAAACGTCGACAAACGGGCACGACACAGCAACGCTTCGCTATGATCCCCGCGAGATCACACTATACGACTCACACTGTCATAACTTCCCAGCGTTCCGAATTGAAATAAAACACGCAGTTTTGTGCAGCGTGTTTTCGCGAGCGACGTGCTATACCGTATAAATATACTACTACGATCACTCTGATTGCGAGAGAATCGCGGGGAACGATGACGAGAAGACGAGTCCCGCCTTCTTCTTCTCCCGGATTTTCTTCTCGCCGTATCGTTCGATTGGGTCAAGAGTGTACTCGCTTATCTGCTAATGCGAGCTTGTATCGCGTCGATTTGTTTCGCCGGACATCTTCCCGTGCTCGTTCGCTCGATCGGGATGCTCTTATCGCCTCTTCCGGCTCGTGTTCCACGTCTTCTTTCACGTGCCCCAGCTTCTCACCAAGCGAAATTGATTAATTCCGTTCCTAGAAAGGAATCTGTCTTTTTTTTTTTTTTTTTTTTT